GTTTTTTCATTCTTTGTTGTCGAATAAAAAGTTTTCCCACAAAAATTGGTGTACCCATTTTATGCGTTCTTGTTTTGAATACCCCCTTGAACAATTTGCATCAATAAAACTAGACTTTACAATTATTTCGCAAATCTTGTGTATTTTCGAATATGATTAGACTATATTGTTAATATTAGTACAAAAGGGTACATAAGTTACCGTAGAGGATTACTATTGACAGATATGATGGTTTTAGGCAATGTCCGAATGTTCGCGTCGTGATCTGGGAATACAGTCAGTCTGCTCGCCAGGTTCACCCATTGTTAGTCCTCCGAACAGCGAAATGGATATGTTCCTACAACAAAAAAACAACAACAAAAAGGTTACGTTTTGTTTCGTCTGTTGTCGTCAGTGATATGTGCCGTCTTAATATCGGAGACCAACACACTTTTATATGCGTATAGTCGAGCACAAAAATAGATAGGATGGATCATGGACGCCAGCAGGAATTCTTCTCAGAGGGCTGATCATCGTACCTGCCCCCTGAAAATCCTCAAAGTTGTACACAAAATCATGCTAAATGTGCATATTTCAAGGCTCAAAAGGCACAACCGGATTCCCAGGGAACACCACGGCATGTCCCTGCGGGCGTTCATGCAACGTTCGTAACTGCTACGCGAAAAACGTATTTGTACGCGGATCTCGTCGTACACAAAGACACATCAAATTAGCAATGGTGCACAGTGCCTTAAACTCTCTCATTTTGCTGCTTGGCTATACCCTGATAGAGGTATGTATCTATAGTGACTACGGCAGGCGATGGCTGAATACCTAGTGACTCAGAAAAATGTATTATTGTTTCTAGACTAGAAAGTACATCCAGAAACAACGAAAATAGTTCCTATAAACATAGGTCCTCAAATGTCCCAATGCCACTGATGAGACTGAATAAGGACAAAACGTAATTATTGATCAAACTAGCTGTTACCCGTGACTTCGTAAGCGTTAAATTTATTCTAATATCATTGTTGAGAATTGCTATAATTGCATTGCATTAGTAAATTGACAGTCATCTTGCATGCTTGCAGCTGACACATCAATAATATTACCAATTTTTTGAAATTAGAATTTCAAATTTAATAAATTTTCTCATTGAAAAAGCTATATCTCTGCCAAATTTCCGGTTAATCGATCCATACTTATCAGTTTGCCAATTTTTAGATAGTAGAAATCTCCAAGCATCTTCAAACAAACATTACGTGCCCTTCAATCCTTAATCCGGCCCTGCCACAAAATCTATTGTTAGCTGAAATGTCCTGTTCACAGGCTACCTTGTTGCCAAAATTCATGTAGGTAGGTCGCATAGTTTACAAGATTTCTTAATTAATGTGCATCTTTTCGCTTTAACATAATATATCCTTAGATTAAAAAAAATCTCATGTTCATAGGTTAAATATTTTACGAGATTTCGTGATTAACGTGTATGTTTCTGATTTTATAGGGTTATAGTTATTATTAGACCCCGGCCCGGTTTTAACAGCTGTTCTTAGCTGATATGTTTTGTGCGAAATTTAATGTTCATAATAGTTTTCGAAATCTTGGACTAATCATCTTAACCCCCTTGATCCAGCCCTGTCATGAAGTTAGTTCTCGGCTAACCATAAACTACCTCTCTGCCTAATTTCATGTGCATATGTCAAATAGTGTTCGAGATAAATTTACCTACAAACTTGAAAAGTGATAAAGTTTCTCGTAGAAATATTCAACACCCTCCCCTTGATAACATAATTTCTAAAACTCTTGGTAATAATAATTACTTTAAAGATAAAATTGAAGGTAAAACATACTCCTACTTTAACGCTGGATTAATTTGAAATATTCTAAATTCTCTACAAAAACATAAAAAATTGTGAATTCCCACTTTACTCCCATCTGGGTTGAATTTACAAAATTCCTTTGTAAGTGCCCATTTACATCCTGTATCTCGGGAAGGCGGCATCTTAGGATCTATGTTTATATCAACTTTTCGTGTTAGTTTTGAACCCACGTTCTATCCACCATGAATGTTTGAACCACCCTGTACAAATTGAAATACAAGCAGTATATATTACGAATGTCTTTTAAACGTAGGGGCAATATTTTCATCGCCTTCAAAGCTATGTGTAACGTCTTTATTTGACTTAAAGAATTATACTGGCCTTCGAAGAAATTGACATCACAATTTGAATGCATGAAAGGTGGCAAAATGAAGCATCAAAGAATATCTAATGAATTATTCTTGATAGGACAGTATTCTGAAATTATTCTACCAAAAATTGCCTTAAATAGAACACCAAACAGGTCCTGCCATTCGTTAAATGATAGTCACTATACATATCTCTATGGGTATCGTGTGTATAGTGTTTCATTCTCCTGGACTCTGTATTTTGCAATTAGTGTGGTGACGTTCTCATATATATATTTAAAAAGGTGGAGGGAAAATGTGGATGTTGTTACTTAGTGGAATCGTTTTTGGCATGAAGTGAAATTCTTACATATCGGAACTAAAAACAAATTATTACTTGGACATGCAAAAATGGCCGTATCAAGGAATGGTACTATGAAAACAGATTTTATGAGGTTTTGCTTCTGCTGTATCTCAATGTCATTAAATTCGGTACTCAAGGTTTTAAGGAATTAAATGGGTTCCACTATGTAAACAACGTCTCCATATAATCTACAATTTGGCTTTATTGATATAAAGGTTTTGGCTTGTCTGTGATGCGTCTGCTTGTTACGTTGCACTTTTATGTGTCATGTGAACGTCCTCCCCGTATCTGAGATTTTGTTTATACTAGGAACCCTACAAAATAAGTTCCTTCGCCTCTTTTGGAGGCGAAAACAGGTGACAAGCCCTTAAAGCTACATTTAAGGTTTGGAACACAGACCTTCTCTCGTCAATCGTAGCTTACATCAACATGCCAATGCTTTTAAACAAATAATAGGCATTAACAAACATTTCTGATTTTGCTAGTGCTTCTTGACTCCCCTACATATTTTTTGCTAGCTAGCTAGCAACTTGAAATTTGAGGCAATGAAACTGATGCATAAAGAATAACAGATGAAAACTTCGAGATGATGACTGCCCACCATTTTGGAACATTTCCTTTAAATAGAATGAGCAGTAGTGTGGTACCATATTTTGAAGGTTCTCGTGAGTACTTTATAATCCTAGAATACAAAATCTTTCAAAATAACTAACTGGCAGGCTGTCGAAGTTGAACATTGTATCGCCTATAACTCAATACCGAATCATCAAAATGTTATAGTAAGTCGTCGTATATCAACATTCTTTTTTGGAAGCGTCTATCTGGATGTGCAATAGAATATGGAATATTCAGTTTAAAAATGACACATTTTTTTAAAAGAGAGTGTTTCACATTTTATTATATATTCGAATAGATCCTTCCAATGGAAGAAGTGCAAAAACGCTCATCTTTGACAACCTGTCAGTCCGCCATATTTAGAAGTAATTATTATTATTATTATTAATAAAATTAGATATCGCATAACCCCCATTCCATTTAAAAGAATGTTCCAGAATAGCTCTCCAACTTACGTATTTTAAATGCAACATCCTATATACTTTTCTCTCTTGTTTTATGTGCAACATTTGCACCACATATGAAAAAGCGATATATAATGACAACGTTTTAATGATTCACGGCGCCATGGGTAACCATGCTCCGTATGTAAACTACAAATTTGGGAAGTAAAGTGGATACCAAATAAAATCCGATGCACGTCATAGGTGATGTCATTCATAAAAATCATGGTTACCAACAGTTGACTACATTCAATGTGACATTTCTACTTGAAGTTTAAATTTCCCCGTCTCGATTCGGTTGGTAGTGCCGTGCAGAGAAATGTGAGGTTGCCACTTCTCATTTGTTGACATCAGTTGCCATTGTCCTTTTGTCGTACTATTAGTTCTTTATTGTTTAGTTTGTGAGTTTTGCGCTATTTGAGCTTTGAATCGTTGCCTTGCCAATTAAAAGTTGTTCTTTTCAGAACAAAAGTTACTGTGAAGTGGTATAAAGTATCCAAAATACCAAAACAACTTAACAGTCGGTGTAAAAAGCTCATATCAATTCTGGCAACAGCGCACAGCTCCAGATCGATGACGTGCATCGGGTTTTATTTGGTATCCACTATAGATACCCTTATACAAAGCTTACCTTACTTTTGCATAAGAGTATTTTGAGATCATAAAAATGGGTGGCTTCCATTTGAAAAAAAATGAGTTTATCGATTTTCTACAATTCAATGTTCATTGGACGATTTTGACCTCGCTATATTAATTATCAAAATATCAAATGAAAATGCAACCGCTGCTGTAAGAAAGTAGTTACAAATCGTTCGACAAAGACAAAAATAAACTGAAAATTAATAGGCATTTATGGAGCTACATTTGTAATTTATTACACAAAGTTTGGTACATTTGAAAAACGGTTAGATTTAGGTGTAGGATGCTACACATGAAATGTGTTTAGAATCCTGCGTAGATTTCAAGAATTAAATAATATATAACGTATTACGTTTAAAATGAACAAGTTGGAGTCTACCTCCGGCAAAAATGGATAGACCACTATTTTGAAAATATTTCAGTCTAATTCCAAGGTCAGTTGTACCGTAACTTGAAATTGTCATTATTGTCTAACGTCGAGTTTTTCAGTAACCGACTGCTGCAGTGCTATATGCAGTATTCATGCATCAATTTCATTATCCCGAATATCAGCTTGCTTACTTGACCCGTTAAAGTACCCCCCGACCTGGAAGACAAATCTTGTCGATGCTTTCAAAGAGCAAACATTTTTTCAATATTTTCTTGAAACACGTTATTCGCAACTAGTTTGAAATCCAACAGAGGTATTAGCTCTTTGCCTGGTTATGTATACTGACTGTTGACTTGGTTTTGCTTGTATTTGTTTCCATTACGGTGCAGAATTATCAGAAATATAAAATATTTTAACTTGCAGTGTGTGAAAAAACAGCATGTGGACATATTGCAACAAAGACTGGATGCCACCAACCACTCTACCACCATGGACGAATCTAGTAGCTGCTACTCTTCTTCCTACTCTTCTTTCTTGAAGACAGATACTGGTACTGGTAGTGGTTCTAACGACGACTACAATCCTACCAACCCATTCTACTCTCCAAGGAAGGCAGACCACCATAAGAAACAGGTAAGTTTTTACTCTATGGATACACGATAGAAAAATCAACATCTATGTGTTGGAAATAGATAAGGAGAAATCCTCGCATGGGTGGGAGATATTTTCTAAGTTTTTTTCATAATCACGTTTGTTGGATGGGCCTTAACATGAACCAAGAGATTGTTTAATAGAATATTACATACCTCGATGGAATATGCCATTGCTGGTCGAGTACTTTTATATCCCAGTATTTACCAAGTTCACCTCAATTTTATACACTAAATATTTCATTTCGTCCCAAGAATGAAAAGAAATTACGAATGATTTTCACAAGCGATCTACATGCACTCGCGAGGCCTCGGTAGCATTTCGAAGACATTCACCGTTAACTAAAATAATATGGACTACTCCGATATTGCTGTAGGGGTGTGTGATTTTTGTTTTGTTTTTTTAGAATGAGTACTGGTGCTTGTCGTACTTGTGAAATTACAAAGCTAATCTGCAGCAAATTACATATCAGCCCTCCCATGCATTTACGAATTCGCTTACCACAGATTGGTCGCGTCGCACTAGTCCACAACGTATAAATAAGCAGTCTACGAGTATGAGCCGACCGCAAATCTTTGGTTACATCGCGTACTGGTATATGTTTAAAACTAGCCAAATCCTACGTTCTTTTAATGTTAAAATGCCAACTTCCCAGACTAAATGTTTATAGGAGAGGTGTACTTGGGTTTTGAAGAATTGAAACATTCCTGTATCACGATACATCACGTACTGTAAAATTTCATGACATTGATCGCGTACCGAAAAAAGCTCAAATTTGAAGGCATGTTACTTCGTTATTTTGAGAGGTGGTCATCTTTTGAACTAGAATTATAAACTACTCATAAGGAGCTACAAAATGAGGTATCACACGATCCCCCATTCCATTTAAAAAATGTTCCAAATATGGTTTTTATGCAATAACTTCCAGCTTGCTAACTTGCAGCAGCCAAAACGTAAAGTCTTGTCTTAAATACTGTTGAAGTTGTTGCATCTGCAACATTTGAGGCTATCGTGGTATCCGCCTAGACTGATTTTGTACGATGTAAGCTTATCTAGACAGCTCGAGATGAAAACATCGGAACGATCTGGATACACTGGTCGTAAACTAACACCAAATCGATAACTGCGTTATTGCTATAGGAAGTGCCGATTTCGGTTTCTTAGACCCGATTGTGAATTAGCTAGGTTAACCTACACGTGGCGCGACGCCTGATTTGGATACTGATACAGTCGTACCACTAAACATCGTGGATCGTACCTTGTGACGTAGCAGGCAGGGTCGGGCTTGGCCCCTCCGAGATTTTATGAAATTTATATCACGTTTATTTCCAAGCTTTGGAGTATGTGCTGCTAGGAAAACTTGCTTATTGTTGCTTGACTTATACGCTCTGTAAAGGAAAGTCACAATTTAAGGATACCATGTATAACATCATGATATAAGACCATATTGTCACGGCTGTCACGTGGGGGTAAAGTTTGCTCTAGGATGAGCAGACTCGCTGGTGTGGAGGCTCAAATTATAACACAACAAAATAAAATATTAAGGTGTATTAACACGCCGCGCAACTGAAAGTACAATAAATTAAAAAGGTTTTTACCTTTTGGCTCAGGAAGGTCCAGTCCCTCGAGGAGAGATATGCCCCGACTGATCTCAGGGCAGTAATAATCAGACGTGTGCATTGTTTGCCGACGATATTCACATTTCTCAGCCGATATGGCTTAGGATATCTATCGACCTATATGACATTTATGTGGCGCTACAGGGTAAACACTCGTGGCAATATATAATTTGATTAGACTTAGAAGCATAGCATATTTGATAATGTCCTTATCGCCCGGCAACACGGCCGTTTTCAATGTTCAAAAACTCGGTCAAAAGTTATCATTTTTGATGTTGCTAAGTGCCTAAATTAAAGTCCAAGCCATCCCCTATAAAGTCACTAAGAATATTTTGAGTACAATTTATTTTGAGGCATTATTATTTAATTAGCAATAACGCACTATGGCCCACGCGCGCTTGTGTTTAGCGCGCGGAATATTCCGTACGCAAAAACTGTTTGGAGTAAAAAATTCATTTCTTATATCTTGGTGAAAGTTCTGTTGGCTAAAGTTTGGATACTCATTTCGTGAGTTCCATATATAGAATAATCCATAAGAGATCCCTGAAGATTGGATTGTCCGTGGTCAAAACATGGTGAAAACTCAAAATCTAAAACAAAACACGTAGGGCACATCGTATAGATGTTGGTGCATGAATTGTTTAGCAATTTGATTCCATTGAAAGACAGCTCTCTCCTTAATATTTGTTGTATGAGCTGAATATGTTGGATTTAAAGCTACTTTCTGTTCTTCTGTGTTATAATGTGTTTTTTATACTAATCACTACAGTCGGCTTTTTAGCTTTTAACATTTTTATGAACTTCAATAGCTTTACGTTTGGCTTACAAACACCTTTAGGTGAAAAAATCTAAACAAAATCTTATACGAGCGCTCTGAACATTCAAGGAACTTTTTGTATAGAGACTCTTCTTTTTGTGGAATAACTATTTTGGAAAATAAATCAGTTCTGGTATCTTTGTCAATAGTCCATACCAAGCAGTAACTACTTCTCTACTGGACAATCTAACCAAGGACAAGTTCCACTCTGCAGGCATTTTTCCATTTTCTCCAAACGGAGATGACTTGAACCAAAACCATTCGACTTAGACCTAGATGATTCATCCTTGCAGATGAGCAAGCCACCATTCAGGAGCCTAGATAAAAATGTACGCGAGTAAAACCGCGAATCTCTGCTTGGAGAGTATTGACGAAAAGTGATAGAAATACGGACAATTATTTCCTACGCTAACTGTCGTACCAAAAGTATTGTACAACATTAGTGAGTCATTTATCAAGTTTATTTAATATTCCGTAACCGTAACACTCGTATATCTCAAAAAGCCGCGTCATTCAATTTCGACGGTCTGTCTGTCTGTTCGCTGATGCTTGACCTCTCTATATTAGTTGAAAAGTACCGCTCGGACTGAGAGTTTGTCAAGGGTAGTACTCTGCCAAGGACGAAATTGAGCGGCAGAGCTACGGGGAGAAAACGCAAAATATAAAAATCGCTCATTCTTTGTTTTTGACGTTTCAGAGTCTTCTGCTCATTTTTGATTTTTTTTTTGAGGGGTAAAGATTTGGGATATGGTGGGTGCAGGGCTGCGTTTGTGAATTGTAACAGAACGTAATTTGTACTTTTTGCAACAATTTCAATGTTCGTAATTGCTTGACGTATTTGTTTCATGCGTTCAGAAATAGAACAAAGTAATGTGTTGTTTGTTTACTTCATTTGCTTATCAAAACGTTTCAAATTGGCAGAATATATATTTTCCCCATAAATGGGCTACCTCGTATCCATGTCCTTTCTTATAATAAAAAAATGGCCGCAGAAAACGTAGTTAAAAATCAGTGGGCTGTCATCAAGAGTCACTACATGACTGTAATAATTTAGGCATTCTAAAAATTAAGTTACAGAGCATTCCAGAGGAAAACGTCATGTGTCAATCTTTATTCCATTACTGTGTACGGTATTACATTATCAAGTGATTTACAAACGTGCCCCTGGGAGGCGGAGGAGAGTATATGCCGATTTTTTGGCGTTAGTATATTTATGCGCCTCTATCTCTGCTGATTCTAGACACCAGTTAGACATATTTCAGGTATATATTTCGCTGTACATTTGCCTTCACGACTCTACTAATTGAAGTATTTTCAATACCCACATCGAACGCAGCGAAGGTAGAAGATAAATCTGTCACGATCAGTTGCAGATGTTGAAAATATGGCCCGTTTAGAAGCGTTATTAGTAAACACTAGTTAGCTACCAATGTATGTGGCGTGTTGATTGGGGTTCGATGTGACTTTTTTCTATCAGGGGCTAATTTGTAAATCGGAGGTGCAGAGTCACCCTACTTCACGCTGTTCTTTTGTCGTTATAACAGGCCAAAACACCCTTTTAGGTATCCTTTACCAAAACTTTTCGGTCAACCACTATTCATCTTACCTCGGTAGAAGTTGTATTATGTCTTGCTAGCTAAGTAGGTTCTCTCTTCATATATATGTTTCTGCTTATGTACGCTTTTCGTTAATACTGCTCAAGCAGTATACTATAAAGTATTTGTTTTGGGTATACATATTTAATCAAATATATTTTGTTCAACAGAATCTGATGAGAAAAAATGGAGGCAGCGGGAGTATTCGCGGTGGATGCCATCAGATGAGAAAAAAGGACCCTCCATGGCTTGAATCTGTTCAGGTCTCACATGACTTAGTCTACCGGTACCAAATGGCTGTCAGGGACATTGAGGATATTCTTAAGGCCGACCTTGATACTCTCAAGCAGATCACCCAGGTGAATATACAAGCTTAAGTAAATAATTCTTCAAAATTAGTTGAACCTCAACTGTTGCGAAAATAAATATCAGAGTAAGCATCAGTGGCGTAGCTTGCTTGTCAGGGGCCCCATAAAAAATTTGTAAGGGTGCAGACATTTTTTTTAGTCAAAGAGGGTGGATCATCGACAAGAGATAACTTTCTGTAAAAGTGTAAGAGGGGAAGTTATAGGAGGGGAAGCACTGTGAATGCAAACATCTTGGTAATGCAGATATAGGTTTTTAGTTTTGCGATGCTACATTTTTGAAAGTCTTCTCAATGGCAGCGGTATTATTAATGAATAAACATTGAAATAGCTTTCAGATCATCTAAAAATTTGTTTCTGAATGCTTAAAAACCTTCTGAACGTTTTTAAGCATGAATCACTAAGCAGTACAATCAAAGTTTAGCGCTTGATAATATTTTTATTTAGCGTATGGCCTTAAAGGTTGCGCACGATTCTGAATAACACTTTACGCATTTTTTTTTCGTAAGCGGAGGCTCCTGTAAGCTGGGTGCCCCATATCATTGCTAAGGCTTGTATGGCGGGAGCGACGCTTCTAGTATTCGTCTCCTAATTGAGCATTTACACGGTTGGCATGCCTCGGCAAATTCAAACGTCTAAATAGATCTTTCGGTTTGGGTTCCGTATCGTTGATAACGGCTTTCAACTGATTCGACCGGAAACAAACGGAGTTATTTTCTAAAAAATCGATAAAACGACTTGTGTACTAGCTAGTTGCTAGTCCACGCCACACGCATTCGCTGTAAACGCCCCCTGTAGAGGAAAGCAACAACCGCCTATGATAGTATACGCTTGGTAACATTTTTTTATCAAAGATTTTTATTTTCATAAGGACCTGTTAACTACATGACAAAAAACTAAAATAAGAAAAAAAATTAATATTCCCAAACATTAGGGGGCAAGGGGGCCTAACCCAAAATACACTTTCCTAATTGAATGTCAATGTTTAAGGGGGTGACTTTTGAGGTCCGTTTTAAGAGGAAAAAAACTTCATATGAATGTATGTCGTAAGCATTTTAACTTCCGGTATACAGAAGTTTTCAAGAATAAATCAGTAATTATTAATGTCTGTAGTACCACTTCAGATATCTTAATGAAATTTGGTATACATGTATCATGTAATATATAGTACCACATTATTTTTTATTTCAACAAGTGGCATGTGTGCGGAATTTTACCTGCGCATTTTGGCAGATATTGATGGCACGCCATTGACTTTTCTTAAAATAAAAATTGTTCTAGGAATCTCCATTCATTTATTAGCAAACTCCATCGATGATTTTTTGAATGCGATATCGATATCGTTAATATGACAATATGACCATGCAGAGAAATAGATTTTATTTGTTTAAGTGGAAACCGCGCGTCGGACTAAACAAATTCAAGAGATCAAATCTGCTTATAAATGAATACTGATTTAATTTTTTTTATTTTAAGATGTTAGTTGCGTGACAAATGGTTTATTTTTGAAAACCTTACTGATCTGTATCTCAAAAGTTAAGACGTTTGGAACATACGCTCATATGAAGTATTGTTCTTAATCTGGACCCAAGAATTGTCCCCTTAAATATTGATAATCAACTGGGAATCAACTGGAAAGCTAGAATAATACACAGTGGTATACATTTTGTGAAATGTAAGCCCCCCCTCTGAGCGAATCAAGATTGACTACCTTTATGTTTTTGACTCCGCTATTCAATTGTCACAAGGGCATTCGATCTCAGAAGAACCCTTGCAGCAGACAATGCCACCCTCCCCAGCTCTTCAATCTTGATAACCTCCTTCCTCCCTGAAGACGGACATCTCCCTGAACATGAACACTGAGTCTTCCCCGATCTTTTTGTGAATACGCCACCGGCGCTCATTCTTCCTCTCTCAAGTTGTTGCTTACTACTCCCTGTACAGGTTACTGTCTTCGCAAGATGATCCGTAGTGTGTGTTCACCTGGCCGCGTGGTGCAACTAGAAAGCGATTGGAGATACCCTACTAATCCAGTTGTTTCACTTGAACGCCGCCAGATGGGGCACCAAGACAGCTTGGGAGCTGGTGCTCTAGACTAATTGGTTTGATCTGCTCCACGGAATGGAGAAGATGCGCATTCGAATCCCGCCGACGCTCATCTCTCAAGTAGCCTTTTAATACAACATACCTGTCGACCATCGCCTATCGGTTTTCGGACTATAGCTGTAGCAGGTTATGGTATTTTTTTTCTGATGTGAAAAAGTTCTGCGAACGCGAAGTCTTAGGAATAATTACAAGGAAAGCTGAGGGATGAACTTTGCTTGAAAGGTTCAGGTCCGTTTAGAAAAACAATTCGGCGTCGCGCGTCTAGTTCCGAAGTTTGGAGCTTCACATTTCCGCCGTCTTGCTCACTAAAGGTGGCAGAAAAATGGTAACTGAAGACATGCCCCTTGACTGACTCGCAAAAAGCAAATGCCGCTTCAAGGTCGCTCTGTTATGATAATTTACAATCATATTGTTCATTTTTAAATAATTTCTATAATCATAATCATGCCTGACGTCGGTCGTACTCGCTCTAATGCACTTATAAATATTTTAACGGTTAAAAGATAACGAAACGTTTGTAGAAGCTTGCGGTTTCTGGCAAACGGCAAGCTCGCTAAAATTCATTGGTGTTCACCTATCAGAGAAAAAATAATGAGATTTCCTTGTTTCTTTCCAGCCGGTGTTAGTGAATGACCAACTGAGCCAGCTTTACCTTGATATGGAGCTAGAAGGGCTGTCCAAAAAGCTTACGCTAGAGGAAGGTATTACGTCAAGCAGCAGCAGTGGAGAAGACGCTACCAACTCCAACATCCCTAAGGTATTTAAGATTAATTTTTTAACTTGGACGCATTAAAAAGTGGAACGGTTACGAAGCTAATTTTACCGTATTAGAAAAATGTTTGATGCTGTGGTAAAAATAAAGTTTGTTTTATGGTATTATTTATGACATTTAGAGGTTTTCTGTAACCTGATCGAAAATTTGTTTCCAGGGTAAGTCAGGCAAGACGGTTCTTAAGCGGCCATTTTTTTACCTTGAATTTAGCCCCGCGTTGCCTTACGATTTCTTGAGGAATTCAGTGCCCCAAATTTACTTGCAGTACCAATTTGCAGACAGACGTCGCTTGTAACAACGAGATAGACAAACGTCGTCATGTATAATATACGGAGTGACCAAAAAAGGTAAACACCTACGTACCTATGTATATCCGACTTTAATAATTTTTGGCATAGGTATATGTTCAGGATTCCTTACTAGTAAAATGATTAAATTTTCAGCAACCCGACAATTCGACCCCTCTCAAAGTCACTTAGCTGGGACACCTGGCAAATTCTACGCATTCTAGGTATTTTGAGCAATCACAAAAAGGCTTCTCAATAAGCTACACGAAATTTAACATTTAACTGACACCGTAAATGTACAAAAACTGAATGCTTCTTTATCGCCAAACAATACACGAAGCCACCACAAAAACTTAACAGAAAAACTTGTTCATTTTTTCACTTGTTGCTCAAGACAAATCGATATGTAAAAAATTCTTGAATTCTAATAAGCATACGTAGGTGTTACCTTTTTTTGTCATTCAGCATATCAGTCTCTGGCATTGTAGGTTCTGGTATCTTTGATGTTTGTCGGCTATACAATCCTTGGTCCTTGGCATAGTTATGACCTTTGAATACGCATGGTGTATCCGAATCAAGTTTCTTACATTCTGGTAGGCTTACTGCTGGTCGGCTATGGAAACTCTTACAGATGGTCATGTAATATAATGAGTATGATTCTGGCCCTGTTATTATTTGCTTTATTCCACAAAAAACTTCATTGTCGCAGAAGACTGGTGAACGTTTACTCGTTATTCCACATCTGAATAACTACAGCTCTATTGTTGTCACTCTGTTGTCTGATTATTTGTGTTGAATAAACTGTATTGCCCTGGTACTATAGTCGCAATTGTTACATAGCCGCGGAATCGCTGACCTCCCCTCAGTTGTTCAAGCAAAAAATTCGTCGACTGGATCTTTGCCCGGGAGCAAGCAGCGGCTAGTGTACTTTCTATAAAAAATGTTTCTATCATTCTAATTTTTGAAGGCCAATATACGGGGTAATACATTTGCGGAATATGCCTAATAGGCGCGAAGTATTACTGATATGATACTAGGACTTACGGCGGCCTATTTTATAACTCAAGCGACACAGCGAAAATTAAAATTTTCAAAAACCACTGCGTATCTGTGTCCTGGATAGAACCTTGCTCCTGGCTAAACCAGATACGTAGATTGCGAGTCTAAAGGCAATCTGGTGCTAGGAATGACAAGAAGTCTCATTTTACTACACGTTTTTTGATAGTCACATACGAATTCAGCTCTTCAAGATACCTTATTATATAGCGGAAACTTTGCTTTCATACTTCTATAATATTTTATGAAACAATTTCCAGTGACCTTGATCTGGACATGTTGAGAATTCCTGAGACTTGTCCTCCTCACGCTTTACTTCAACAGTAACTCCTGCTTTGCGAGGATCCCCTTATTTTTCGTTTATTCATTTCATAAATCATTGTTATCCTTTCAGGCAAAAAAGAAGAGGAAAATGTACAGCTCCTCAGTGATCATTTACGAAGAGAACGTTCCCTTGCCCTCACCGAATGACAACCTCTAGACACCTGATCCTTTCTACAAATGTCACATTTCTATTTTTATACAAAAGACACAGTACAAGCGTTGCTATGATCGTGCCAGGATATTCACCAAAAACTATTCTACTGTTTTTGTAAATACTTTTATCGATTGTTATCTAAATATATATGACTTATTTTTAAGGTCAAATTCTATTTTACAGTATTGTATTCCTATTCGTAAGATGTGCTCAAAAATGTGCTATTTAATGCTCTTATATGTTAAGTCAATTACTATTACTTAAGTACATGGATATTACAAATAAAATTGTGTTTTTGTTCTAAGCCCTCTAAACTCACAACTCAATGTATGTAATAAACGGTCGGATTTAAACAGGAATGGGGTAGCTTCAAAAAAATATACATATGTTAATAGAATATTAATATTTTGCCTCGAAAACTTGCCTTTGTAGGCTGGCAAAGTTCAAGCGTAAGATTTCGCCGTAAAACTAGACGCATGAATCTTGACGTCCTTAGGATATAAGCCCATCACTGACATGAAGGTTAAGTCTCCAGATGTGAGGAAATTAACCTTTCTTTTTCTTTTTCCTATTCGTCATTTGTTTGTTTTGGCGGTCCGTCGGACCTTTGCCTAGAAACCAGGCAATGTCAAGCAAAAAGAGAGTGAAAGAGAGGAAAAAAGGAGAAGAACAAAGAAACAGAAGTGTTAAAAGGAAACACCCAGGCTTTTTGACTTTGGCTTTTTTTGAGTTTAATTTTGGGTTTACTAAAACTTCTCGCTAATTTTTGACCACGGTGCAAGCCGTAGTCTTGGGCGCTTACGAACTTGCTGTACTCTGAGTAACGCAAGACGGTGTTGTTGTGTCATTCCGTTTGACGATAACGTCGCTGAGTCTGAAGCTTGACATGTTTCATTAAGTAAGGAATGTCAAGGTCTGATTTGAGACAACCCATGTTCGTAAGGTTCTGCCTTGCAGTACTTGGCGAGTTTGCATGTATGTCTTGGCCAGAAAACACCAAGCCGCACATACATAAGTAATGGCGGGTCCAATGATCATTTTATAGAGTCGAGCTTTGTTTACCAAACTCAATTTGGAGAATTTACATAACAGGGTATATAATTGGGGAAAGGTAACCAGATGGCGTTATTTTTGTTCCTCTACCTTTTTCTATCCACACACGACACACCGTCATTACAGTACATTTAACATTGATAGAACGAACTAACATCTCGATAGGCAATAATTCTACCCCTGCCAAAGTCGCTAACATGGTGATAACACTAGTCAATGGAAAGGCAATAACTAAAAATATCTGTACTACTCAGCTCACAAAAAGTAAGAGATAACATTTTAACAAAGGTAAGCAAAAACAAAGATAAAACGTTGACATTGTTGCCACAGCATGCTTTAAATATAGTGATTATGTTGCCAAAAAACAATTTAGAAATTATTTTTTCTGGGTGTAACACTTCTAATGTCACCGAGTATATATAAACGCCAAAAATTGAGTCTCTCTGAAATGTCAAAAAATGAAGTTAGAGTGATTTTTATTTTTTTCGGTTTTAGTCCGTAACCCCGCGGAAAATTGCAAACCCTTTTGATCCTTGGCATAGTGGGAACCTTGTGTCAAAATTTCATCAAAATCCGAGCTGTACTTTCTAAGTAATAGTGGGGTAAACGAATAGATGACAAAACAACAGTCAGATCGACAGACAGATTGATGGGGGGGAATGGAATGGTTTTTCGTGATTTACATGTCAATTTTTCGTTTTTCGCAACTACAATACTTCCTCGCGCAATTGGCATAGGAAGTGAAATGAGTGTGAAAAATCTATTTCAGCTATTAAAAATGTATTCACTCCTTTGTCAACTGTTGTATCTCTGTGAATCATAACTAATGCCACATTTTTTAAAAAAGCGGTGTTAATAACGGCAAGGTGTAGTTATAAGCGCCGACACATTTTTAAAGGATCACATTATGCTACACATTCACCATAAATTCAAATAATGTTAATCCTACCAAGCACATCCACCATAATTTTTAAAATTGATCACACCTCGTTTCATATACTTGGAAGTCAGGGTGAACTCGGCGCCTAAGCTGCCCATGCACTACTTCAAATTCAGCCTACAACACTCCAAAATGGCATATTCGTGTATTGGGTTTGTCTCACTTGGAGACACGTAATGTATTATAGAAATACGAACTTGTGCACAATACACCATATAAAGCCATCAAATTTGACTGACCTCGTAATATATACACGAGACAAGCAGAAGAAGCGTCCAATATGTACGTTAGAAAGAATGCGCCGATGGCGCCCGTGGCCTTGTCACAAGGTGCTTTTATCTCTTTCTAGCACACGTATTGCACGCTTCTCACGCTTCTCTATCGTTCACATTACGTCAGTGGTATTTGGTATTTGGTTTTCAGTGTAGTAATTATAAGACGCATTATGTGAACTTCTTTAAAATCCCTGTGTTTCATCCCTTAGGTAAACTGAATATACATTATCGACTATGACCTGTTTCTTAGGTGAATCAGGTGCGTAGACCACGAATCTAATCGGATCCATTTTTGATGGCTATACTCCAAATTAGTCTCAAATTACCTTAGTGTAAAAATAAAAAAATCTCCTGTAATCTACGTTCTTAGATAAACTGGATGCATAGAGCACGAATCTAATGTCAGTTCTTCGCTGAAATCAGCAAGAAGCTGCAAAAGTACTATTATCTGCTCTCCACAATATTTCATAATTTTTTGAAAGTGATATTCGATTTGATCTGCCAAATTTTGTCCGCTAATCATACATTATATATTTTCAAAATCCTTGCGTATTTCTGTTCTGGGTGTAGACTCGATTTTTTTATAAATTTGATACCGGAGATCGACGAGTGTACTATGAACATTTTTCCAAAAGCTGTTCTTTGTATGCGATCCGAATTAAAGCTCCTTCATAGGAGGAACGGGTGCAATCTCAATCCGATGTTTACTTGGTTCTGGAAATGACGTAACCTGTAAAATATGCATCCGTTCACGTAAGTTAGACATTTTCTAGTATGACACTTTTATAACCAAAAAAGTCTCAGGATTAGCCAATTTTCACCAAGATGGAGAAAGAATTGCATGTATCACCATAGCTTCGTGGGTGAATGTCAACCTAGTATCTAAAGAGGCGATATCAGAATCTCTGTTGGCTATACTTTGAAGTTGAGTCATTAATTTTCAAATAATGATTGTAGAAGGAAGATAAACCAAAATATGTGTGTAAAAATAAAAAAAAATAAAAAAAATCTTACCTTGTTTTATAAAGTATCCTCCCGACAAGTATTTCAGTGCGGACCTGTATTTGATCGTGCGGTCTTGGAGCACCGGCATGCCCTCCCCTGTGAGGTCTTAAGTCACCTGATTCACGAGCCATTTGTACAACATTAACAAAGGCACGAGGGGTTGGTTGCACTCGATTAAGAATAAGAATCATGTCCATAAGTTCAGCATTTTCGTAAACATGTGCCATTTTTTATTTTGTTTGAGCCACGCAACAAACACCACTATTGAACCACGAGTTACCGACTGACACATTGACTGAATACAACTGAATAATAATTGTAGTAAAAACATCGTTTCAAGTTCTTTCGCTTTTTTGTTTCCGATGCGATGAACGGATAAGGCGGATTATATCCGTTGTTGCCAAACACGAGCACATAATATTATTATTGATACAGGGCGGTACTCAAACTTCTAAAGGGCAATAACTTTGTTACTTTAATTTTACCAGAAAAATGTTAAAACAAAAAAACATTTCTTTTGATCAGATCTACTCACTGTTAAAATAAGTGACTCAACTTTGAAGTATAAAGCGACGTCAGGGGATGGAGCCAAGGATAGCACATTTCTATCATATCCATACAAAACTGGATTGAGCTTCACGCTCTGTAGTTATCCGGCAACAAAAAAGTCTTAGTTCGGTCTTGAGTCTGTCAAAACTATGTCTGACGATTGCTTATTTGTATTAGCACACATAAAATTTAATTCCATTCAATCGACTTTATTGTAACAAATCCATAAGTACAGTTACAAATGGCGGTCTGTCCAATGGCCGTTCACATTCAACCATGTCATATAACTTATTATTACCTTAAGCTTAAATCTAGGCTAAAGGAAATAATTGGGTGCTAGACAAAATGTCCAAACGCAGAGAGCCTGGAGGGCCCTGGAGTCACTTCACCATATCAGGGAAAGACAGAAAACGAACAGCAGTCAATAAATAATTCCTATAGTTTTTTTTGGAAAAGGTGCTAATAAAGATTTCGTCAAAGAAATTAATTAATTCCACAGCATCGTAAGTGAAAACGGTTTATAAAAAGACTCAAACATGAATGGCATTCTGACAAATATGTACGCTAGGGACCTTGATCGTATACCGTGACCAAAGACTATATCCTGTATCCCCTAGGTTTGATATCAATGGTGGTTAAGGCACTAGCCTTGAGTTTCAGTATTATTAGTTGAGAGTTTTTATGTGTCCCGTGAAAGTTTGGTTCAATTTTAGGGACAAGATCTTGAAAGAAACATTGCTATGTATTGAAAAATGACTATTTCACATTCACACAATTAATTGTACAAGGAATAGTTCATTCAAGATTCTCTCTCAAACTTAAAACTGTCAATGTCAGAATCCGACTGTCTAAAATCGAAACAAATACTCGGATTATCAATTTTAAGCCGTCTTCACTCATTTCTAACTTGTCTAATCACCAATCCACAATGAAAACTCTTCAAAATAAAGGTCTGGTGCTACAAAAAATAAATGAAATGCCGCATAAATTTATATATTTTGTAGAACGAAGAATGTATAAAAATATTTATCTATGAGTGATCTTGAACGAAACACCGGAAATGTAAAGAGCAGAACATTTTACGTTGAAGTTTATTTTTGTCCATGATCTTCATTGGTATTTGAGGGTGTTAAGAAAGTAGAGACAAGAAAAAAAATAGCACCTTGAAAAATACGTATCATGAAGAAAAAAGTTGTGTAATACAGTCGTGAAAAGATTCATCTAATGGTGACCTAGAACCTGACCTTGACTAAGACTTTCAAGATTATTTGAAGATTTGCTGAAGTGGAAAACCTTATTTTTGGCACCAGGTAGCAAAGAAGCAAGACACGCTATGTTGAGATACCTATGTCCATGACCTTGACTATGACCACCAAAGTTACTTGAAGATCAAATGAATTTTTAACGGGTATCATCTATTTTTAATTCCCGAAATGTAAATTGTGGAAAATTTCAAGTTTAAGTATAACCTTGCCAACGGACCTGATCATGACCTTCAAGGTCAGTTTAAGATGAGATACATTTTCAAGTGAACTCCTCACTTATTGTGGATATAAAAAAGCGAAGCATTAAGATTAATTTATTGTTGCTTTAAAATATCAGTTAAAAGATGTTAATTGCCAAACTAACTGTTGCATTATTTTGCATATAGCTCTTCTTTCTTTGAAACCAATTTCTTGCACACTAATGCGCGGTATTAGTCTATTATTCTATATTCTAAATGGTTTCTTGTACAATTCACGCTCTCAGCCAAGTTACTGTAAGGTACTACAAAACATAGCTTATACAAGAAATTCAATCAAATCTACAAGAAATCATGCAACCTAAAATAGTTTTTTAACATTGTACCAAGAATTTTCTAAACTGTCCTGGTACAACTCGGATGTCTTCCGTGATCTCTTCCTCTCCGTGCTTCCCGCATTCCGGTTGGTCACCGCAGCCCGACTCGAGCATCTAGCCGACCATGAGCCGCGACTGATTGTGATTACAGCACTGCCGGCGTCCGCGAGCCCGCGAAGCCGCATCTACAGCCAGTGCGAAAAGCGTGCTCCTCAAATCTAGTCGGCCGTGGATCGGTTTGCCGCGCTCCGCGTTCGTGCGCTTTTGGAGAGCTTTGAAAAACGCCGGGTTTTCGGAAACGGGACGGACGCGAGCTTGCGGTGAACGACAGGACATTGACAGGAGGAACGAAATCGGTGAGTGTTTTTGTCGAATTTCGCTTTTATGTTGGGATATTCTTTTATAAAGGAAGTGTTAGGTTATGTTGCGAAAACCCGGAAGAGGTCTCGGAGATTCAGTATAATTTATTAGCTACTCGTAGAGAGTTTTTTGAGAGCTTTTATGCAGTAGTACTTCCAAACTTGAGTGATTTATGACTTGAAGTTGGATTTTTTTGGTTCTGTGTGTTGGATACATTTTTGAGAGCTTTTATTTTAGAGTGCGTTAGGTAGTGATAAATATTTTCTAATGACTTAGGATTGAACGTGATTATTTTGACAATTATATTATGAATTCGAACATTGTATTGAAATCTTCCAAGATATTCCAATTTTTTTTAGTCTACATATGTCACAAATACTAATTTATATAAAAACATGCACATGTCAATTAGTTATTTGATTTATGAAAATGAAAAATGATACTTTGCAATCACAAAAATATTTTCCTATTTTTTAGTGAGTTGCTGTCAAAAGTGAAAAGGTGTTGTAAAATTTCTAATTTTTTTGGGTTTTGGATTTGGTTTTTTGGTCTTGATAATCGTTGTACTGAGCTCAATAAACTTTAGGGTAGGGTTGAATGCAGGTGGCAAAGATTTGTAAAACTACAAAAGAGCAGTTAAAACGGTGGCCATTTGTTAATCTGAGATAGATATAATGATGATAAAACGCTTAAACAATAATTTTGTGAGCATCATATCATATATCTTTGAATGTTGAACAATAAATTATGTGAAACACCGTTATTTACTCCTTTGAAATGTCTAACGCTCCAAAAATGATTTTCCTAGAACTGTCACTGATGTTATTTCGTTTGCAGAATGCAGTAATAGTAGGAGTAGAAATTAGTTGGTCAAATCTTAAAAAGGTTAGCAACCTCACACGATCAACGATTTTTTAGCTTCGTGTGTGAATTATTCGCAGCTTACGGCACTGAGATTTATTCTCCTTACATTTAGTTCGAAACAATAATTAATCGTTGCACTTTGATCTTACCTGGGTCCATATCTGGGGAGCGTTAAAATAAGTAAAAACGAAACAAACGTCATCAATGACAGAATATAAAATTTTAAATATCTATTCATAGATTTTCTCTAAGGTTTGTGTAGTTCCATTTTCAAAAAGCTCCATATGACTTGTACTAACTGCAACATGCGATGAACAAATAATTAAAACGAGTAAACAATTCCATTTAAATACAACAGAACCAAATTTATTTTAGTAATTCTTATCAATTGTTTTTATAAGTATTTAATTTCATTGTCAAGAGTACGATTACCAATTGAAACCGCAAATTCGTACTACTGTTTAGCTAATATACCAGCAATAAAATAAAATCTCATTCACTTAAGATTTTACAATATTCTCTTTGTGGTGTCTGTTGTTCATATTACAGTGCAATAAATTCGATGATAAGTAGAGCAGACTACTGAAGAATTATCTAGTGAGTTTCATTGGAAACATTGCTCCGATTAGGAAGCTTAAGACTGAATTCTTGGAACCACACCAGGATCTTTTTGATATGTAAATTGTTGTTCCATTATACGGATTATAAAAGATATCCCTAATGAGCACAAACATGCCCCAGGACGTCTCCATGGCAACATAGCCAACTTAGTATTTATTGGCTGGGATGTGAAAACTATACTAAAAAGACCCTTACAAGCTTTGATTTAATTTGACCTGATAGTACGTATGATAGTATGTATGTGGAACAAATCTGAAAAATTGAATTTTGAACCAGTTAACCAATTTAGCTTAAATTTTATATACATGCTTGGTTCTCACGACAATACAAAATAAATTAAATGCTATAGTAATCTTATCATATGGGTATCAAATGAATGGGATTAATGAGAGAAACACGATAAGCAAAAATGTGGGAGAAACTATTAACCATAAATAAAAAACCTTTTCCCCTAAATTTTTCATCTAGAACTTTTCTCAACTCTGAGATGTTGGGGAATTTTTTGGCGAGTGTAGCTTCAACTAAAGGTACCGACATTTTTAGCATTATCAGCACAATCAGAGCTTGTCATATTCAACTGAAAAGTTATATTTCAATCACCGGAAGATAAAATAATTCAACTGGCATGGTTTGATGGGACTGTCACTTATCGTCATACAGAAGATTGTTTTTTGCAAACATTATATCTCTGATTTTTCACTGTGAGTTTTAGGGAATTGACTGACTTCAATTGCTGGCAAAAACATCGATTATCTATTGGTATCCTGGGTTACCAATAGTACGAAGACATATCACAAACTTTTATAGTATGTTAATTTGCTACCTATTTTAAGAATACATTAACAACAAATTAATGCGTGGGAAGTCTCGCGTAACAACCAGTATATAAATATTCATATTTAAAAAACAACAGATAGTAAAATTGTGAAATGATTATTTACAGTTACTATGTCTACCTGTATTTTAAATTGTAAACAAATAGTTTTATAAACGCGAAAAAGCAACATAAAATGCTTCTAATATTGTTGTTAGATATTAAAAATTTATTTCTGTTTTTACGCAATAATTATTTAGCCCAAAAACCATCCAAATAGATCCTCGATGCAAAAGATCAGAGAGGACATTTTTGCTGTTACTCTTGTAGGAAGTGGATGCAAGACGTTAACAGATCATGAAAATATTGTGAATATGCTCAGCAATTTTCGTGAACTGGGTTGCATGCAGTATGAGTATAAGGTTACTTTTTCTGCATTTTCATATTGACCTTTTTCCTGAGAACCTTGGTGCCATAAGTAAAACAAAATCCTACGCCAATGTACTAAAGTGCCTGATGTTGAAGAGAGGTCGACCGGAGTATAAATGTGAAACAGCTTTTTGATTTAGTTAGTATCTTTAGCATTATTACTTTTGCTACAGATGGTCCTTTAGATAAAAAATTAGTATCACATACAAAAAGTTACGAAAGGTGTGGTCGAGAGTCAACGTGCTTATTTCATCTCTGTTCGCTTCATGTTCCTGTAGAAAAACTAGCGGAATATTTGAGGTGCTTGAGCAGATCAAAAATGAAATTCTTGCCATAAAGGATGAGCTGCTGAACCATGCTGTCAAGGAGACTAACCCTCCAGCTGATCCTCCTCGTTATTCTGATGTACTGCGCAACAGAACTCAACCAGCCATTGTTATTCGTCCGAAAAATACTGATCAGTCAGTAACACAAACCAAGACATTCTAAAGTCAGTTGATCCTGTTAAAGCCAACATTCATCTGGGTAAAGGTCGTGATATCAAGGAAGGTTGGATAGTGCTTGGTTGTAAGAGCAAGGCGGATAACCTAAAACTGCTTTCCATTGCAAAAGAGAAGTTAGGTGATTCATACGACATCAAAGAAGTTGCTGGCATTAATCCTAGGGTACGAATAGTTGGATTGACTGGCAAATATTCCGATGAGCAGATACGTAGCTACCTTCTGAATAGTAATCCGGACGCATTTTAACACTATGGTATAGGATTCGGCACCAGCCTTAATTTTATTGGTCAATTTTAATTTATTCAACCAATAACAAGCCGGGTGCCGAAATCACTACCGGAGTGTTAAACAGTGCTGAGCATGGGGTCAGAATGTTATCAATTTAAATTTAAATTTACTTACCTTCCGCTAAAAATACGTAAGATAATAATCAACACACGTCGTTTCCTATTACGATATTTAATGATTTTAAAATTAATAATTTGGTTTAGCAATAAGAAAAATTACATGAAAAATTTATATATATTTACGTATATATAGGTGAAAAATTAAAGCTTCCGCCTTTTGTTGGGTACTTCGACAAAATTTAAGCAAAGAGGACTCTTTATACTTTTTTAATTCTCTCTAGCTTTCAATGGACTTTGCCATCATCATCAGGAGCTGCAATTACAATTATACCAGTAGCAACAAAAGTGTAAAATTGGAGAACTTACATATCTCCCCAAATTTCGACTCTTCACAACCATAAATAGAATCTGTGTTTTGGCCGATTCCACCAGTAAATTTCATTCCACTCGAAATATAATAATTCTCTTCTCACGATCTATTAATAATTGTTAATTTAAATTCCCATTAATTAAAATATAGTTTATTCAACTGCCTCTGGTCGGTTTAACAATTTCTTACATAACATTCTGAAAATCACATCATCTGAAGTGATTTGGCAACGTTTGGCACACGCCCACAATTCATTCCATCTTTCAACACAGACATTGACAACCTTCGGCCTTCTGTCAAAGGGTTTCATCTCACTCACTATTCCATGACCACCATTTTGTGCAATCATCAAGTGGCTTCACGATGTAATGCTCTAATGTTTTTTAAATAATTTTTAATCTGTTTTTAACTTGTTCTTGTCATATTTTATATAATTTTGACCATTGTACCATCTATCCAGCTCTCACCATGTTACTGGACGTTTCCCTCATCCTATACGTAAACAACAATTAGCAACATCCTCACATACTACTAGATGAGTCAATTTAAATTCATTTTACACTTTTGTTGCTACTGTTATCATTGTAATTGCAGCTCCTGATGATGGTGGCAAAGTCCATTGAAAGCTAGAGAGAATTAAAAAAGTATAAAGAGTCCTCTTTGCTTAAATTTTGTCGAAGTACCCAACAAAAGGCGGAAGCTTTAATTTTTCACCTAATATATATATATATATATATATATATATATATATATATATATTAGTAGAAGTAGTTTATTGATAACATTCTGACACTGTTTTCAGCACTGTTTAACATTCCGGTAGTGATTTCGGCACCCAGCTTGTTATTGGTTAAATAAATTGAAATTGACCAATAAAATTAAGGCTGGTGCCGAATCCTATACCATAGTGTTAAAATGCAATCCGGACGTGTTTTGTGGTGATGTTGAGTGTAAAGTTTTGAAAACATATGCTGTTAAAAAATAATGATTTCAAATACAAAAGTATTTAAAAAATAATACAGCCATTGGATGAGGATAATAAGAGTAAAATGTTGCAGCCCTAAGTTCTTCATACAAAAGAGTAGAATCACTGGAAAAAGGTGGCCGTGGTTATTTAACATTTTGCGTAGTCCACCTGCTTTTGAAAAACTGTATTCCTGAACACGGATAGAAGAGAAATTATCGGAAGAAAAATGGCGGAAGTCTCGCTGTTTTCCACCAGTTTCGTACCTAAAAACGAAGTTAATCTATCATAATATGTTTAATCACATGAAAAACCTATGAATATCATATTTTGCCAAAATAGGATGCATTCATAAACTTGTTTCGCAAATGTCAACAGCTGTCAAAATTTGGGATCACTACTACTGGAGCGATTGGTTGTTCCATCTTTTTCGGGACTTTGCATAGGTTCGGTATTGACGAAAATCTCTTATTACAATATTTTATAACAGAAATAGTGCTGGACTGCGTGCTGTAGCAATTTTAACGTTCGTTATTGTTGGACGTGTTTGTTGAAATCCTTCTGGAACGTCAAAAAAGCGCTTTTCTTCCCGTGCTCAAAAACCTTGGCAATAAGAGTGTTGTCACTTTTAATGTTCATGGTTGATTGTTTGTTTATGTTCTAACTCAAAAGTGCTCAAAACTGACAGAATATATATTTTTCACGTAATTGGGATACCTGGTATCCATAGTGTTTCTGATAATAAATACAGTGGTCGTTAAAAACGTGGCTAGAGGTCAGTCGGCTGTCACCAAGTGTCATTACATGACAGTAATTTAGACATTATAAAAATAAAATTTTACAGTACGCCAGAGTAAATTTTCATCTGTCAATCTACATTCTTTTGCTGTGTACGGTACTACATTTTCACGATTTACAGACGCACCCCCTGTCGCAACAAGAAAACTTCATAAGAAACGCCGCAGGTCTAATTTTTATCAACACAGATGTAATACATTTAAATAAGCAAGTCGATACATCCACTAACTAGGTAATGTAAAGCGTTTGCTAAAAAATTACGTTACGCAATACACCGTACACCTAGCTTTCCAGACATCAGATATTTACATTTCTAAGCACGAGTTCATGAATAAACGGAATAAACTTAGTAATGAAAAACAGCTGAAGAATATTTGAATACGAAATGCCTAGTGTCTTGGCAACGGTACTACCTACTCAACTAGCATTTTTTTACAGATTTTGTGAAATCGCTTCCATTAGGAAGAAGCTAGATATGGTAATCATGAGCAATTTCAATTCAAGAATATACCTTTAGACAAGAGAAATTTTCCAAATCGATTTTTTCCATAATCACGTTTGTGGTCGCAGGCTCATTGCGCACTGCTTCTGTATGAGACTGTCATTTGATTATGTGAAACGGAACCTACCGGACGCGCTTCGATTCTCTCCTCTACTTCACCCGAATGAGCCTGCACCTTCATGGTCTGATAACCTCTAAGAGTTGTCATCTCAATGGATCTTTATTTAATTGTTAGTAACCACCAGTGTGCCATGTGTACATGTCATAAGGGTATGTAACATGTACAGCACACATACAATAGGCAACCTCAAAAGTAATACTATATGACCGAGTTTTTAGGCATTGAAAAAAAATGGTTACATGATAATTTTTAGGAACAGCATTGATATTAATATATTCTGCATTAGGCAATATGTAAATCAAGCTATGCAAGTAGTTATTTTCGGTTAAAAGGTTTAATACGGCCAGCAATATATCTTTTCACAAGTCCAATAATCTTTCCAATCAGCTGTACGATAACCTCTCTAAAGTTTGTTTATACAAAAAATATTAGCCAGCTGTAAACCTACACGTAGACAAATTGACCTCAATTGCAAAATACAGGATATTTTTTTAGCGTCTAAAAGCGGAATATCAATTTCTTTTATTAGCATTAACGATCATAAACGTTGAATAGTAAACTTCTTTTGATGCGTACAATGTGAAACAGCTTTTAAGTTTTACAGGGTGGGCACAATTCTGTTATAGCATTGATCCATTGTTTATATCCTAAAAACAGAATCCACGAGGTACCGTAACGAAAACGCGTAGGTGGCGCCACTAGTAAAGTAACAAAATTTCCCAAGCATATAAGTGGGCTGTCATTCACTAATGGCATCGAAGATACATAGCGTGATTGGAAGCTTATAGTAAATAAAACAATGTTTTATGTTACCAACAGCTAGTGCAAAATGCAACGTCTATATTGCTTGACGGTCAGAGGTTGAGTGAGGCGCTGGCAGGCCGTGACGTTGCCGATTTGACATTGGCAGTGGCTATTTTGCTACCTGCCACGATAGTTTATTACAAAATCGACGACGAGAT